TCTCTCTCTCTCTCTCTCTCTCTCTCTCTCTCTCTCTCTCTCTCTCTCTCTCTCTCTCTCTCGCAACCCATCGAATTTATTTCAAATATGCATGTCACGTAGAATACTGACACGTACTACAGGAGTCGCGCGAAAGCCAAACTTTCAAACGATTTCGATTTTGGGAGATTATAAAGGGCATACATTATTTACACAAATTGTATAGAATAACCACAAACATTATTTCACAATCATGACAATATGATTTATTAGCGCTAGCTTGTTGATTATGATATAAAATATTTATATTATGATTAACATTTTTTATTTCAGTCACGTAGATTTAAATATTTTTCGATATAATAAATTTCAGCGAAATTTCCGTACAATAATACGTAAAATAATCATTTTAAATCCAATATTAAAATTGAGATTTTCTCTTCTTTAATTATATAATTTTTAAGTTAATGCAGTTCTAAAATCTGAGAAAAGTTATTACTCTGACTTGTTACGGCCTTCTGGCTTTTTGATATTTCCGTTGGCTGTCTGAACACATGTTGCATAAAGTCTTCGAAGTTTTCGAATAAACATCATTCAAATGGCTGCCGGGCTATACATCGTATCGTTCTCCGTATACCTTTGGAACAGTTAGTATATTCTCCATCATCATCAATCATCATCAGACCGAAGGACGATACTCATTGGCGGTTGACAGGGATTGATCCGAAAGGAAAGTTCGTAATAGAAACTGGCTGACTGTGAGTCTATTAATACAAGAAAAAGAAAATTGAATGAAATAAACGTATATTAAAATTTTTGCTCTCTTTACAAATTTAACCCTCGCATTTAATTATTTTATAAGTTATAGTCAGAATTGTTTTTACTATTTTATTTAAACCAATTACCAATGTTATGACAAATTTTTTTTTTATGTCAGCTGTCCAAGTTGTGCAGTATTTCTGTAAATTTGTCAAAACACTACACAAAATTCTGAGAAAAAAATATTTTTTTAATTATATAATAAATATATAGCTAAAAGATTCAATTTTATAGTTATTATTATATATTATAATATTATATTATATTATATATTATATTATTATATTATATATATTATATATTATATGTTA